CGTTTATACAGGCAGTGATAGTCCAATCTTTGTTTCCTTGATCCTGTTCCCAACATTTCATAATGTTAGTGTCCCCCCATTTTCTTTTCAATTCGTCATTCCCGCGAGAAAAAAAATGATGGTGGTCCCAAGACACCGTTGGCTGTCTTGAAAAATCACACTGCGTCACAACACGTGATCATATTCTATATATAGGATTCTACCGTTTGGTAAATAATCCATTGTAGCTTGGGTTTGATATTGAAAAGAATTGACAAATTTATCTTGACGGATTTTAGGGCTGGAAAGGTGATCATCGAAGCACCATCCAAATACTGTTTCAGTGGAAAGAAAGCCAAGCTGTATATATCAAAGGTTAGCTCTTCTGGAGTTGTGTACTTGTAGTCTGTACGCTTGAAAGGAAATCAACACTGAAGAACCAGTTCGTCACATGTATTTTGTGATTATTTGGCAAACCATGGACTTACCACGTTTAGCCACGGAAACATAAGGTTCTTGTAAGTACATGCCGCTGCTCAATAACATCCTTATTTATCTACAGATCAAACAGTGTTTTCTTTTGGATACAAAGTTTTGATGACCATGAACAAAACTGCAGATATCAAGTGACAAAATGTTTGGCGAGTGCTTCGGTCATGAAAAGGAAAATCTGGCAGTTTGGTTCATTTATTTCGGATTCTAAAATCACAAAATACCAATATGATATCCATGATTTTCCACATTATGTATATACAAATGTGCATTTTTTACTCTCCCTATAAAATATACACAGCATATACAAAATTGGACAAATGCCAGCAAAAACACCTATCGCATGGGTGAGAACATCCAAGTTTGCGCATGTTAAGGCCGGCACAATAAAATACATTTTGGTCCGCATGCATAGTAATTAAGTCGGTAGCTAGAAAATGGTCCTAATCAGTAGAAACTTCTAGCTAACCAATAAAGTCATTAAATTGATTCTCGTCATTTTTCGCCTTTGTTAGTTCAATAATTAAATAATGGAAATCAAAAAGGAAACTCTTAACTCACAAAAATATATAAAATATTTCAAGAAAATTTATATCTCAATAATTTAACAACACAATCAATCATACGTTCCTATGTTTTGATCAGTTTAAGTTTTATTTTTGCAATAAATAGGAATATGTAACAACTTTCAATAGAAAAAGGAAACTACATCGGTAAAAAGGGATCATGTGAACCTCTTTCTTTATGTAAACTTACATCACCGCATTATCCCAGTACAAAGCATGACCATTCTGTATGGTACAGCCATCCTATACAAAGATAATCAAAAAACAGCGCGCTATAGAAAGCAGACACCTTTCACTAAAACACAGTTTACTTTTTCTATTTGTTTTTGAAAAACTCTTATGTTTTTTGTTTTGTTGTTTTGTTTTTTTTTGTTTTTTCTGAAGCTTTGGAATATTGCTGCGAATTAACTATGATATAATTATCATCCAAGGCACAATGGTTCCTTAGCTGCGGTACATACGTACAGGAGCGGCCATGGCCGTTTTACGCATCGTCGGCACAGGCTGCATAGAAGAACAGTTTCCGAAGGAGAGGCAAAGTCATCAACGACAGCAATATTGGCAGTGATGTAAAGCAGGTTTTTTAAAACAAAAATGGCAGTGTTGGCATTACAGGGCGACCACAACATTGAAGACTCATACCTGTGAACGACAAGAAAGTGAAAAGGAAAGAAAAAAGAAGTACATAAATAAGTTGGCACAAAACAGGTTATCATAAACAATGCGCCTTTTGGGGTATTTTGGAATCGTTTATATATGAATGAGTCTTTGATGTAGAAGAGGGGGGGATGGATTGAATTTTCGTTGAACTAATTATTTTGGTCCTCGGTGAGACCCTCTTGATCCAAGCCAGCCAAAATACTTCAAAGAAGCTATACTTGAAGAAGACATAACTGGAGATAGGCAGAGAGGGACCTGTATGTCGCAAACTATTTTTGTGCGTTAGAGCTGCGCAGTCGACGGGAGATTTCAGACGTGAGAGCACGTCAGGGATCATATTTCACAACACTGTTTGACAGTCCCAGATATAGATCAATTTTTTAGTTGATGCTTCCCCGACAGGGTACTTGGCGAGTGATTCTTCTTGACGTTGTAATGAAACCATCCGTTCCCCGTTCCTCGAAATGGACATCACCACAAAAGATGATATGTTAGCCGCGAGATGGAATAGTTTTCAAAGATCGAAGTTTTATGGATAAGTGGGAGGACACAGGACAACAAACACTCGTGCCCTCTTCGTCTCAACTTACCTCTGTGGCTTGCAATCTTGCCGGCGTCGACCTTTCTTCGTTGAGATGTACTGAATAACACTGTGAATTTCTATTTACACTTTTTGGGTTGCTATCTTCAATAACTGCACTGTGGAGGAGGAACGAAAGACAGGGAAAATACGGTGAGTAGAAAAATCCATGCTACTTTTCTCACGCCTATTACTACAACCTTGGATCAGCTTAGGAGGATTATTCATGTACTAGAAACCTTGAGCAAAACAAAAAGAAGTTTGACCGTCGAAAGCCCACAGAGAACAGTTTAAGTGGATTTTGATTTCTTTGAGGGAAAAGTTACTTATGTAGGATCAGCACGTGTCCTCTACATCCTCCAAGGCAAAGGGGTTAATTGTTAACATAACTCAAATGGAATCGAGCACGAAAACCCTTCAAAGAAATGAAACATTACCAACACCAAGCGTATACATGTGTGTATATTCAATACCGGTAACTGTACATGTAAAGGCTGCCGGTTCAACTGAGGAACAGAGACCAAAGAGACCGTCGAGTTTCTTGTAATATCACTGACTGCACTCCAAGGAATGGATGTCTGATTGAACTCGTTTGGCATCTTGAAACCTAACGAGTCCACTTCTGGAATTAGATCCCCTAAAACAACTTCATACCAGACAGGGGCAATGCTAATCTATGATGGATCAACATGACGCGTGCAAACTGAAGCGCTCTTCTATCGAAATGCAATTACCCGATATCACCATTTTTGTTGACGTCATCACGTGGCGACTCCAGATCGAGTTCAATTCTGGAGCACGGGTGCCACGTGCGGCTCGGTTAGGGCAGATGGAAAAGACATTTATCTTTACGTCTGAGCGCGGCTAGCTCACATCACACATCCATTAGGGAAACAGAATCACTTCAACACTGGAGCAATTTCCTCTCGGATGATGAACAGGTAAAGGAAGGGATCAAGAAACAGTGAGATAATACTTACGAAATTTGCACGATGGAACACTTAATATTGTGCCTCGGTGTGCTTTCCGTTGACTGACACGTCGAGTGCAACGATTCAGTTCTTTTCAGCTGAGAAGCTTTCTCATCATAATAATAATAATTGTCTTCCGAGTCCAGTCTCGGCAGTGAATGTCTCTGGACGTAACTCATGCACTCCTGGGTACTTATCTTCTCCACGGGCAAGCTCTCGTGGTAAGTCTCCTGTGCGGAGTAGTCTTTGCACTTTGCTTTGCTAAAATTGTCACTTTCCGTATTGCAAACTTTGCTGCTGATGCTGAGCAGAGGCAGGACCTTTTCCTCCTGCGAAAAGTTGTCTCTGTACATGTGTCTGTTGTTGGGTGTTGAGTCCGTTTTCTCAACATCGCGTGCACCACGTGCATGGCTGTGGTCCACGTGTTGTCTTCTGTACACTACGATAATGAGAATGATGATGAGAATAATGATGAGCACACCGAAGGACACGTAAATGGCAATCTGAGTGACATCAGACAGGCCAGAAGAGGAGTGCAGCTGGGGCGAGCTGGTACCGTCTTCATCATCAACACCGTCTTTATCATCAACCGGCAACATGGACGATGATGACCGACGGTCTATCGAACCGGAGGTAACCGACGTCTCCGGCGTAGTGGCGAACGCCGTCACATCATGCGTCTCGGCCATTCCACACGTCTTTCCAATCCAGCCGGGAGGGCAGTTACACACAAAATCCACTGGGTTAGTAAGATTTGGAGAGCAGGTCCCTCCGTTCAGACACTGGTTGGGCAGGCAGGCCATCGGCACGGTGCAATTCCGGCCGGTATATCCAGCATGGCACAGGCACTCGTAGCCAGTGTCCTCGTGGTCCACGCAGGTGGCTCCGTGGGCACAAGGTGCAGTTAACTGGCACTCGCTGAGCTCCGTCTCACATTGTGCGCCTGTGAACTGTCTGGGGCATACACAGCGAAGGGTGTCAAAGTCAGCCACGCAGGTACCGCCGTTCCTACACATGTCGGGTGCACACACGTTCCTATTGCAGGTGCGTCCAGTATATCCATTGGGGCAGACGCAAGAGAATCCACTCAGGGTGTTGACACAAGTACCACCTGCATAACAAGTTTAAACAATGAGGAGGAATCAGTTAATTATTGATAAAGTAAATTTTGCAGAAGTACCATCGAGGAGTCTCCTTTGTCTCGGGGCACTCTATTATCATTTGAGTTCTACTTGATTAAGAGAGTTTCAGTTTGTTCTGAAACCGAAACCTGAACACTTACCGTTGACACACGGGCTACTGCTACAATAATCTCTGGTCTCACAGCGGTTGCCAGAGTACCCGGCTGGGCACAGACACTGGTGACCATCTTGAGTGGTGATGCAAGTCCCGCCATTGCTGCAACAGGTCGGGACCAAGATGGTGTCACAGTGCATGCCCGTGAACCCGGCAGGGCATGCGCATGCATAACCATTCTCAGTGCTCTGTGAGAAACCAAAGTGGTCAAAATACATGTACATCAATCTCTTCAATCTCAAAACAACGGCGAGACAAACACTACCACAGATCATTGATGTGAAAACTGTGTCAAGTTCACAGGATGACATTAACGAGCGCGTGGGAAGTTTAAATTGTCATTAAATTAGACCGTTGCTGTTTGATACACTTAGCTGGATCTATTCCTCCTACACATGCTTGAGGTGTACATTTGTTTTTTCCCGTTTGGCCCATCGTAAAATTAATGGTTCGTGTCACTGTTCTTCTGCCCTTACTTGACAAGTTCCCCCGTTCTGACACGGGCATTCAACCGCCACGCTGCAGTCGATCCCCGTAAACCCAGGCGCACAGAAGCACGTGAAACCCTCCGGTTGACCGCCGTTTTCGCACGTTCCCCCATTCTGACAGGGCATGTGGTTTGTACAGTAATAAAGATCTGCAAAAAACAAAGGAGTATTTCCATTCGGATTATTAAGCATATCGTACCCGGACCTTTGGAAGATGCAAATGAGACATAAAATATGGATGAAAAATGTACCAGCAGAACAGTCAGATAATTATATAATGATGGATGCTGTTTGCCTGTGTTCACCTTGATTACACAGTAGATTTCCCCAACCAGGGTAACAGATACATTCCCCGGGTACTTTGTCGCAATAACCGTGGACACAGCCGTCGTAGGGGATGCACTGGTCACAAAGTTCTCCCTCCCAGCCATACTGACAACTGTGAAAATAAGAATAACGCTGTCAGATGTTGGAGGAAAAAATATATCGCTTTTCAATTAAAACGCAGAAATCGGTTTGACGGTAGGCCTATTAGCATTTGCGTGAATGGTTATCCCAGATACGTCAAACGAATACGACAAAATTTCTATAAGCATGTATTTTTAAATCCATATAAAAATATATAATGTTTCACTCGAAAATCGGAGAACATACTTGCATGTTCCTGGCTCTGAGATGCATGTCCCGTGTGCACATCCTTCGGCACAGATAGCTGAAAGGCAAATTGAAAAAAAAATCTACATGAGATTAAACCAGATTATACCACTTTTGGAGATGATACTCAATAAGATTTGATCGCCCATTAGTTGCGAATGGCACGCGCGTAGTTCCTAAGAATAGAATCTGAAATTGTCAAGGGGACCCCCTATTTTTCCCAGGGTATAAGGTATGCAAGGGGCGCCCATTACATTGACAGTGTCCACACGGTGCAGTGATGTTATGTTTATAGACATCACGTGACACGTGCCTGTTCATATTTTCGCGTACGCCTAATAATAAACGACATCGCACTAAACAGCTACGACAAGATATCTCAGCTGCATCCAGAAGCGTTGCCAGGGTACTGTGGTGTTCGGGCCATTTTTTTCCCCGAGCGTGGTTCATAAGTTATGTTAATTTATGCAGACAGCTGCCAGCCGTCAGCACGACCCGTGCGCGCACGCGACATCGCTTTTAACAATCATGGACAGCGCTGGCCTAATCAATGGCGGGAGCTGTTATACACCGAAGAATGAAATCATCGCTCATTGTCGTAGCAAGCAAGAAGAAACACGGCACGACATATTCAAAAATTTATGGGAACAATATTTTTCTGACATTCGCTCTTAATGCGACCCTTAATGCAACCCTTAATGCCACCCCGCCTGACATCTTTCAGAGTCAAAGCTCTCGCTGGTTGGTGGCCCTAGCTACGTGTTGCCAAGCACATGATTTACGCTGACATAGTTGCCAAGGTTTCGTCGGCCTTGCTTACATATAAATTTAGACAGCGCCATGTTGTTTGAAAGTAATTTAATTTCATTTTTATGGCGTCCTGACTGGTAATGTTACTGCGCGCAGCTGTCACTCTAATTAGATGCTGGAAGCCCAGGGTCATAAGGAGTTATCAACTCTCCTTTATTGTAATGAAATGATGGAAGGAATGCCGTCCCCAAAATTTAACCCAATCAGAGGCAAAAGATGGTCAAAGCTTCGTTGCCAGGCTGCCAGATGCTGGGACAACGAGTAAACGTGCACGACAAGGAGTCAACAGATGATGATGACGGCGATAATGATGATGCTGGTGCCGAAGACGATGGTGGAGCAACGGGCTAATGTGGACGGAGGATATTTGCATCGTCCTAGGAGACCGCCAGTGACCTGGCCCCCGCCTGTCAGCTCTGAGCACCCTAAGCAGTTGTTGAAAACGTGGCTCTCGCATTCGCCGAATAGCTGCGCATGGCAAAATTGACGCACCGAGCGTGGGAAAATAAAGAGCAAATCTTGGGTCTTCAACGTGCAAGTGTCCCGTGTGCATGGCTTGACCCCAATGACAAATATGGCACCGTCCTGGGTCGCGTTCGTTGTAATTATAATGAAGCCATAAACTCCCACACATACTGAAAAAAATCGCTTGCACTAGTCACTCTTACATAACTGCGTTTATGTAAATAATATTGAAGAAGAAAATGAGGGAAAATCAAGGCAATTCAGACTTGTCAGTTTTCTTTTAGCGCACGGCAGTTGATGGATTCCCCAAGCATAATGTTGGGCCTACCAGGGAAATCATTCACTGATAACTTATTGACACAAGCGTTTCTCGCTTTGCGCGTTCCTTGATGTTGATCAATCGTTTTCACCCATGACCAGTTTGGGCATAAATATGGAGTGACTCCCTGGAGATTCTCAATGTCTCCACAGAAGTAAAAGAGAGCCTTGCTTCTCAATAGTGTCTCTTACACGGGTACGGTCACACGTATCTGTTTGCAAATATTATAACCTCGGGCTACTGAACGCATTCGGGGGAAAGGTTCTCGGAAAACTAAGGTGACTTTAAACGCGTGACAAAAATCATTGAATTCAACTTTATTTATACGGTGTAATGGCTTTTCCTTGTAGTCGCCAAGGGCATCTGGACTTCCGTACCAATTTGCTAACCACCACGATACATGTCAACTTTTTTTTTTGTTTTCGGAATCAGACGGCTGAAGGCTGTTCCAATTTGTTATTTTTTTTATATCAACAAATAAAAAAAATGACAGGTCTTAGATAAAATCAGCATCTGGTAAACGTCTACAGACTATCCACTGCCCATATCTGGTTCGATAAAACTATTTGTTCAGCGAGTGCAAAGTCCACATATTTTAGGAGAAAATGACCCAAACGGTTTACCACCAATAACCACAGGTCTCTTCACCGTTCCCCATTCAAACAGTCGGTTCCATCTGAAATTTGTAAATCTTATCTTGTACGACACGTTAGGGTGTTTTTTCTCTTACCTATGGTGCAAAAGGGTCCCTCCCAGCCGTCCAAGCACACCTTCTGACCATTTTCATCGCACCTCCAGTGGCCCAAGCTGTCGTTCTTGGGCCGACAGATATTAGAGCAGGTCGGGCCGTAGTAATTCTCATTGCAGACGACTCGGTAGGAGAAGTTCAACTCGTGCTGGTAGTCCTCGTCTATGTGCGTTCCGTTCGTCCACTCACTGCCCGCTCCTAGATACTGTTGGAAGGCCACCCTTGTTAAAAGCTGCCGTTCGCTACCTGTAAAAATGGACAGTCGAACAAATGACAGCTTAGGCCTTTATCAAAAATATAAACGCGGTCTTCAAATTCCAAGAGAATTTATGCGGTCCATTCTGATCAATAGGCCATACGTTCTATTACTATTTTACGTGGTGTCTCCGAGATTTATAACTCCCGCCAACTTTGTTCAATTTTTGTTTTCACCCTCAGTTCGCCCATTTCAGAGGCAAGTCTGCTGTATTAAAGAAAACTCTTTTTGTGCACGGGGTTACAATAGTTGGAAGCCCTTGCCTCTCCATTGACAGCATCGGCTCAAGGACAGGGTGGCATTGTGTGTTTTGTATATGCAAAATTCGCGTGCGTAAGCGTGCCGACAAACTCCACCTGCCGCTCTTCGAATCAAGTGACCCCTATCTCAACCGTTCCCTCGGAAGCAAATATTTACATATCGCGTATTGATTATAGTATTTGCTGCGCTCACCGATCGATAAAGATGAGGGAAAGAGGGGGAAATTTTGAGTGTATAATTGTTGACAGTTTATTTCTTTTTTGGATTCCCTCGCAATTCTCCCCTGCCTGCAAGTAAGTGGACCGTCAAAATGAAGTCGTATATGTTATTAGCAAATGTTTCATGTTTGAATGACTCTCACTACCAAGTAAGTAAATCCATGGGTTGGGTTCATAAAATAATGTTAGTGAGGGACAGGTGTTACGAATCCCACACTCCGAGCTTAAGACCTAGTGTGGTTGTTCACTGACCGATTTTGTGTCTATAAAAGAGTGATCGCGCTGATCAACCATGATTCTACTTTAGTATAGAAGGCTACCTCTTATACACTGCTTTTTCACACTGTCAGTTTGCCTCACAGATTTAACTCTTAGTATAGGCTTACACCACGGAAATACTCTCAAGACCATGAACTTTGGAGTGAGAAGCGTGGCAGTCAGTGACGGACGGGGAACTGCGGAAATTTACAGGAGCCGAAAATGCTACTCAAGAAAATAGAATCTGTACATGGCTTTAGTGAGGGATTGTTACTATGGCCACCGTTATGGGAATAGTATTATTGTTTTAGGAACGCCCTTAGAGCATTTCGGCCTGCACGTGGTCGGTCTGGTACGTCTTAAGACATGCCCGAACAAGCCCATGTGGGAGTGAGCACAGGTTTATTGTCTGGCCCGAATTACAACGGGGTATGATGGGTGCTCACATAGGAGCCCATTGTTGTATCAGCCCCAAGGAGGCGACAAAAATGTGGGCAGCATGGTCACTTTTGCAATGCCTGCAGCTGCCGGAATAAACAGGAAAGTTTTTTTGTTGTTGTTTAAGAATTGGAAACGGGGAGAAACTTGTCCGGTCGGTTTGGCAAGCAGGTGACGTCCCGAGGGCAATACCGGAAATGTTCGAGGTGTTTTATCGCCTGCAATAGTCCTACGTTTGGACCAGGAAATGCCGGGTAAATTGGCACCCGATATCAACATAGCAACAGCCTTCAAGAAAGAGGAGAACATTGGATAGATCATCTGCGAGGGAAAAATGGTAGGATCAAAGAAATCGTTTACCATAAGGAAGTGGTGGCCGGCTTGACATTGGGTGTCGCTTAACTGATAAGCAGTTGTTGCAGGGTCTCTCCCTTGACATCTGCCCCCGAAGTTTAGGTGAACTTTATGAGTGTTTCCCCGGGGATTCAGCACTGTACTTCCGCCGAAAACAAACATGGCTTTGGGGTGGTTCGGGTATGATGTTGACAACGTGCGACGGGGAGATGGTAACGCGCATCGCGATTGTCCAAACATACAGACTCGATAGGCAATTTTTTTCTGTGTGTGTGTGTGTGTGTTTTTTTTTAGTTTAACTTGAATGTCGGCGTGCCAGTGCAAAAACGGACGTAAGAAGCTGTCAGAGTTGGTTGGCGATCTGATGTTAACCGGTGACAAGCTCCGCTGCTGCCGTGGCCTGTCCCTGTCACGATTCAAGTCGAAGAATACAACCAAAATGCAGAGAGACACGATCAGCTCGATAATTTGGAGGAATCCAGTCGAAGGCATCAATCCTTCGCGCGCTGTATTTATGGAAGGGCAACTTCCATGAGGGATCGGGGTAGAGTTTCAGAGGCCCTAGCCTAGTACTGTCAGCATTTCATTTCAACAAGTCCCGTTTATTACGAGTGCAGTCAATGAAATATGAATTATTTGCTCCACCTCGATAGCATTTACGTACTAGAAAAATGTGGATTTAGAAAGGAGAAATTCGGTGATGCTATGTTTAATCAAGCTTTTACTGTCAAAAAGAGGAACGAGATATGCAATAATAAACACGGTATGAACATTCTCGAGTCCAAGCATCGGGTGCCCGCGATATGGCACGAACACCGTACTTGCATTGCAACCCCATCGATCCATACCTTGGGGCCCTAGCCATCATTAAATTACATCCCTTTTTGGCGAAAAGGATTGAAAAAAAAAATCGCTTAAAGGAGGAAGGCAAAGGGGTGAATAAATAAATGGAATTTATCTGTCTGACACTCGCCTGTGTAACAGGCTCTTGTTGAAAATGCATCCAACAAACTGCACCGCGAACCACACGGATGAAATTAATATCAACATTCTGGTCACGTGACCCAAAACAGTTTTCTTTCAAAGAGTGCATTGCCCTCAAAAAGGGGTGTGTCGCACACATTAATATGTAAACAGCAAAACTGAGGTTTCACGAAGAGAAAAAATTGCAATCTTACCTGGGGCGGGTCCCAAACTTGTAACGTCGTGAAACGCTTGGATAATTAACGTAAAAGTCCCCTAAAGAGACAATGAAGAAAGAAGACAAACAACTTTTGTTGAAATGATCACACCAAATACTAATTTCTACTTTTTTAAAATCCGCACGGAGCTGGCTCCACGAAAGTTTTAGAGTTGCTTTTCAGTTGCGATCCATTGAAATAGTGGGGTAATTTGGGAGTGAAAAGCACGAATGCACCCATGCATAATAGAGACCAGAATTGCCCGTGCAGCGCAGGTGCACACGTGCTAACCAAATAACAATCCTGTGTACAACCCTTATCCCATCACTGGGCTATCTTGACCCCATTGACAAAAGTTACAGTGGCGCCATCGCGCGCAATGACGACAACAAGACTACACGTATAGTAAATAGCCAACAGCCCTGATCTTCATTTGCATCCGATTCCAGTGATGATTTACATGCGTTTACCGAGCACAACGCATTCCAATCCTCGTCCAGTACTAACAAGTACCCACACATCAAGAAAGAAGGAAAGAAGTATTTAACACTTACCGGCCAGGCGAAATTCAACTGGAGCCTCACAGGGTTGACGAAGTTATTTTCCTCAGAGGGCCCACTGGGAATCTCAAACGAGTTATCTCCAAGCACGGGTGTAATTTCTTCTCCAAAAGTGCAAGCCTGTGTATTTTCCACATCCGATGGTATATCCCGCATGTATTCCAGCAAACAAATCCTGAAAAAGGTTTCACACTGTGCCGAGCACTGCCCGGGTGCGCCCGTACCACAACAATTTCCTTGACTGTCCGCTTCCAGAGTGTTTCTAAATGACGATAATTCCAATTCGAACTTCTCTGTTCCAGTTACCTAAAACGAGCAAAAGAGGATAAATGAAGCAGGGTTGTTATTTTTGAGGGTTTTCTGTTAAATAACAAATTAGGCAGAATTCTCTCACACTGTATACTGCACCACGGTATGCATACATAGCGAAAGCCACAACAAGTATGACATATCAAGCACACGGCGAAGAGACCACGCGGTTGTGCTTACTACTGATTCTCGGGTCTCTTCGATATCTTCGACTGGCGCATCATCCAGCCAAATTTTCGCGGATTTGCACACAAACACAGATGAACGTGAAACAACAGAAAATACACTCACCTTTGTCCAAAATGTGATGAAGTAAACTGTTAAAAACGTGATATATCTCCAGGAGAGCCGTAACCGACCCATGATTATATGTGACTCTGCCGCACTCGGTGTACGGGCAGCGAGTAATATCTGCCTCGTCGTATCAAAGAGCGAACAGGGCCGTATGCATCCGATCGGCTTTGTGAATAAGCCACGCCTACAGAGTGTGATTGACAGTACTTAGCACGCACGGACGAATGAGGGAGTGCTCCTCTTCCAATGGGGCTAGTGACACCCCTTTTGGTGATGCGTGCATGCCCCAACGGCACCGACGTGTGCACACACGAGACCAGTTCTATGGTCTTCTACGTAAAAGCACAACTCCGGAAGGACTGAGGGGACTGACTGACGACAAAACTCTTTCCAAATTAATAAAGCCACTTATTTGAGAGCTTCGAACTGCCTGCACACGTGTTTCCGCTCTCTGTCAACTAACGAAGGAGCCTAGCGTTCCTTCCTTACCATCAAGCTGTAAGAGACTCGACAGCAGTCTGGCGGTAGCGGAGACTTCAGCGATGTAAACCAACGTATCCCAAGACTTTTCGAACTCTACTGTGACGGTCGGCCAGTATCAGTATAAGTGTGTCTTAAGTATTTCCCTCCCGCATTTATTAGCATACGATTATTTAGGCTCGCGTATGGCACGCGACCTTAATCCCTGTTTCCAAGGAAAAGAATGGCTTCTCGACCATTTTGAATTAAGCTAGTCAGTTTGCACTTTGGATTAGAAGTTAATCAGTTCATCCTATCGACTTGGATTTTTTAACACCTCATAGCCTTGCAAGCATGACCATCTGTTGGCTACGCTCAGAGTGAATGACTTGACCATGTTTTACATCTGCAAGTATGTCACTTCGACAAAATACATGTGAACTCTTTTTTCTCTCTCTCATAATGGCCCAAGCAGGAGCATAACAAAATGATACATTTATATTGGCCAAATTCCTTTGGACTTACTATGGACAATCCATGTCACGGACATGCGCTTCGGACAGTGTTTATTGAAATGCACTCATCGATCGCCCAAACTTGGCACGCGTCGGCGGGTCGTCCAGGCCCAAACAAGTTTTACGATCTCTTTTGTTGCTGCCAAACGAGAAAACTTTGCCAACAATTCTCTTTGTTTGTGGCGCGTGCGCCGGGGGGACGGGCTTTTTAGTACTTGCCAGCTTTTGGCAAGGAGCCCAGTGTTGTCCACCAAAACCCTGCCTTGCACCTGTCCGTTTCTCTTCACCTATTGTTCCGCCTTCCTTATCTTTGTACACATGATTAGTGGTACCCGTTTTATGAATGACCTCCAGTCAACAACCGCCACCAACGACCAATGGGATCCCCCCATTAAGCGTGCCTAGTCCCGGAAGCGGTCACCCAATGGCTCTTATTTTCTTGTTATGCTAACTACCTACCTGAACATGGATTATTAGGTGCATGCGTGGTATGAATAGTCATGCCAGTTTGGCCTTGTGTATTTTAGTTCGTTCCCGCCATTCTAACGCAGCTCGTGCACTACTACTGCTAAGCAGCGGTGAAAATGGCTACCATGCACTTGGAAACAACTCAGTTTCATCGAAAACATCCTCAAAGTGTAGACTTAATGGATGTCAACAAGATAGATTGTCTCAGCACCTTACTTAAACTTACAACAAACAGCAGTAGGCCTACAGTACACTAGCTGATAACTTTCCCCTACTGCGCGGCCGTTCGATTGTTTATTGGTTATTCACCATTCAAAGCATTTCACGTTACAATCACAGAAAAGGTTGAGATTCACCCGTATTTTAAAAGTTTTGATGAAATTAATTCACCACGCAACAAGACCCTTTTCATACCACATAATATAATATGGTTCCATACATGTACAATGGAGGAGTAGCCTTTACTTATATCGCGTACAACATATTTAACTTTGCCATGGTGATAAAGGGCCGAGTCGTAATATTTTGGGACGAATGCGGTTAGCGCATCCAAGGGGATCCCTGCCAGTGCAATACCGCAGGTAATGGATATACTGTATATGCATTGTCAATGCACTTAGTGGTCTAAGGAATCCCTCTCTATCATAACACAGAGATACAGGGCATGACCCCTCTGACCCGATCTAGTCCACGTCATCATCACAGCTGGCAGTGGAAACCAAGGCTAAAATGCTGAGCTCTGTTAAGCAGATGACCTTTGACACGCGGCAGTGGCTATGATATTCTGCCTGTTTAAAACAATGAAGAAGTTTTAAAGCAGATGACAACGTACAGTCAGATATTTGTTAACTTTTACTTGCTGCTTTCAAATTGTAACCTATGTTCTTTGGTGTCTAGATACTTCTTTTCTTTCAATGTTCAGTTCATAGGTCAAACGTTCCGAAAATGCACATTTCATCCTATCTTATTAAATCAGACAATCCCAAAAATGAATTTGTTGAATTTGCTGGTGTTCTCTTTGGACATGTGGAAAATTAATCACTGTCTCCAAGAAAGTCAATTTCCCGAAAACCAACAAGAAAAAAATGTTGAGGGTACCCCCAAATAGGCATACCGCGCACACCATGTGGAGACCTCAAAGGCCCCAATGGTCACCCCGCAGTCAGGGTGTGTGACAACGCCACGTGCCAACGCGTGCTCTGTTAATGAGTTTTTCGGCGGCGCCATAGACCTGTTGGCAGTTCTTGGGCTGCCTTGTGGATTACTGTCAGTCTGGTTACCCAGACTTCACCGCTAGAAACATGCGACGATGCGTTGCCTTTGCATGACCCCAAACAAACAAAGAAAATAAAAAAGTTACAGTTTGATGCACTGTTTCATTACTATTCTCTATCAGCGACTATAAAACACTTCTACAATTTGTTCAGGAGTACCATGACATAGAACAGGAAGAAGATGGTGTTTGTCGGAGTGTTGTACATGTTCTATATCCAATGGAAACTGAGCTCGAAAATGTCTTTCGTGGCCTATAGACACCGTTCACTCATATGTCTCAGTAGTTTTTCAATTTTGACAATCAGGTCTATATAATATTATAATTTATATGCAGTATAATAATGTTAAAAGACCTTGACAGACTCATAAAGCATTATTTTCCTTCCAACTTGGACGCGTTGTAAGAAGCATGCAGAATTACTAACACAAAACGCACCTGTTGTCCCGACAAAACACAGTTTGGAAAGGGGTAAAATGCCTTCGAATGGTGGGACAAACTACAAACAACAAACTACGTGGAGCCACGTTTATCACTGCACATAATAAAGTGTTTGTATGTATCACGTTCATTTCGTCTTATCAGGTCTATAAACGATTGAAATCTCCCCTCCACTTTGAGGTTATCTTCAGTGAGTGTGCGATTCGCGTGCCGATCATAATGAGTGGACTTTGTCACACCAGTAACGCTCGTCGACACGCGAGTAAACAAGCGAAGGAGCAGTAAAGCGTTTGCATTGTGTTATGTGGCAAGTGCGTCACATCGGTGAATGATGTTGTCAGTTTACTGTTTATCAACAAGCAACAGCCAACAAAACGGTTTCCCTACTTTTACATCTTTTTACAATTTACTCAAAATTGAATGGCTATACACTCTTCATGTTTACACGTTACAGGAGGTGAATCTGACGGTCCGAGGTATAGTTTTCCTCCCATTTACTATGAACAGATACACTAGGTACGTGTTCCTGCTTTTGTTCTGCTTCAGGCGTCTACACACATGCCTAATTTTCTGAAGGAAATCATGAGATTTCATGGAATTGAAATTGTCTCGAAAGGCACACTTATTTAGTAAACATTGACGAAAAACCAAAAGCCTGATCGTACATATTTCTTGAATGACTTTGAAAATGTGGGACGAGATCTGTGTAAAGTAACTGTCGCTTAGCTCATTTAAACGTACTTGGCGTGTAATTATCAAATGACCTCGGTCAAGAAATCGTTGAAGTTGCCCTATGGTTCGACAGACAGCCGACACCTCTCTTCACTCTGGTTGGTGAGCGAGAAATGTTGGGGAATTAACTCCTGCTGTGATGTCCATTCTCCCGCTTTGAGAGGTTCTTCAATTTTCCATTTGACCTCTGTTGTGGCTATTGAAGCTATAAGGACCGACTAGCGCCAGGCACAAACCATTCTGTGCATTTTGTTTTAGGTTACAAGAAGCGAATTCACAGAGCTTGCAGCCCCCTGGTGCGGTCACTGAGACAAGTGCCAAGGCGTAACGTTTCATTCCATTGACAAGTTGATCTCATCCCCTATACTTTAGGTGTTCTGGAAATGACTCCGGCCGTGTTTTCAACAGCATTGTCTACGTCTAGGCCTATGTTTTCAGCGTGTGCCGGGCAATTTCAGTTGAGCTCGATCCGACTGTTGACAACATATCCGGATTCAGCCCGGGCGTACGGGTCAGAAGAGTTCAAAGTTCACTTTAAATATGAAGCTTAGGTACTTAGTGTGCAAAATTATATAATGTTGGATCTTCTGAAGTACATATCTTCACGCATTGGAAGGTTAACCCATCACTCTGTCTTGCAAAGTTAGTGACCTCAAATGTAATGAAGTTTCACTAATGGTGGAGAACCCGAGGGATGGGGTTGGCCTAGGATCCCCAGACTTTTTTATTGAACAAAAGAAAAATTACTCTTGTGTCTTCAGGAATCAGTACAGTCAACCCAAAAGGTTTGGGTACGACGTGGATACTTAGCATGGAAGAAATCTTATCACATTGTTGCTAGTAACATGGTGTTTCGTCTTTCGTGACAACCGACTTCGCTGATTCCATCACCGTCCCCTTCTTGTAGAGTCAAATTTTAGTTAAATCGGTTATCGGTTGAATATGGCCCTTGCATCTCCTACATTTTTATTGTTTAATTTTTATTATTAATTTATTGTCATGTTTATCCTGAGATGGTGAAACGGGGATACCACAGGACGATTGGAGGTTTCGAGTGGAGTTATAGGCCTACATCTCATTTATAAAACAAAAATTGTGCACATTGTTGTGTCGTACAGAAATGAAACTGTCAAACTTCCCTGGTTCTGATGATAAAGCTGTATTTTTCTTCTAGATCGTGTCATCGTTAGCTGGCTGGTCAGTGGTCCAAAGCGTGATGTAACCTGTCGGCCGAGAAGCTTAACCAGCCTTCCTAGCCAGGTGCACTTGCTTGGTCGTCTGTGTGTTCGACATCGTCACTTCTTTGGCTTATTCAGTAATTTTGAAGTTGTACAATGCAACAAGTTACAGCCAGTGTCCAGATTTGGCGTTGGGGAGCAGAATGGGAGAATTTCCGGTAAAAGTAGGCTGGGAAGTTGCAGGTAGGCCTACCCTTGCAAAATGCAAACGCTTTTCACTTCCTGAGAATAAGTAATTTATTTCTTATTATTGAAATCTCATTCGTAGCCCAAAGCTGAATTACAGAGATTTTGTATTTCATGAAAGAAAAAGACTATGACAATATTTATATTTAAATAAAGAAATAAACAGTAGACAAGAATTCAAAATTCCAGAAAACAGTTACAAATTTATCAAGAAAAGTAAGGAAGGTTACTGCATATCGTTAACCCTATCCAACGGCCTTGTGCTGAGGGTATACATGAACAGGTGCAGCAAACTCTCACAACATGATAATTTGTTTCTGGTTTCATAGGCTACTTGACAGAAATTATGGAGCTCCTGTGCTAAGTGCTTCTGAAGATTGGCAGTACATGCACATAGATAAAATGTACCCACGC